GTATAATTAGAAGTAAATTAAAATTTTATTAAACAAATATTTGAATCTATTTAAATTTATTATATTTACAATATACTTTATTTGAACATTTGGATTTCAATTGCAATTTTTGGAAATTAGAAATTCTATTATTCAAACTCACATGTTTTAGTCACATGTACTGAGTTCTTATCTGGCGCCACCGATGCCCTAATAAACTATGTTTGTATTTCGAAGCGTGAAGCAACTTAACTGTATAATTATGTCCAATCACCATTTTGCATATAAATGTATTGCATCTATTTTTAGTTGAAATTATATGGACTTTGACATAAATAATACTTAATGATGCTAGAAAGATTGCAGTATAAAAATCCATGAAAAAGCCAAGCAATGCAAAAGACAATGACCGCTTAACACTTAAAGAATAGTCCACGAGCAAATAAATATGTTGCAACAACAATCAACCAACAACATTGTCGCATTTTATGGCAACATTCAAAAAAACATTAAAGTATTTTTAATATATATTTAATGTTTTTTAATTGAATAAGAATTTATACAATTGATTCAAGTAAATGAGTGCAATAATAAAAAAATGCGTCTTGAACTGTATCGGATCGATTGATAAGAATATTTTAAGACGACACAATAACGCTCTTGGCATGATTCTTGTAAATAGTTTTAAATCTATATTTATATTATATAGAATGTATATATGACAATCAGTCTAACTTAGTTGAAACCAGTTTTATATATTAATTAAGTCAATTTATTTTCCTTAAACTTATGTATACTCGTACTATTTGAAAGTTATAGCACTTCATGCCGGAACCTACTTTATACTTTAAAAATAGATGAATAAATTCCGCTTTATCAGATAATAATAAAATAATAAAATATTTTTGCATTATAATTATTCTATTTTTATAAATTCATTTAATATATTATTTTATTTCATAATGCATCGTAATTTATTTATTATATTCATAAAATTATGAAACATTAAATTTATATGATTTTTCAACTTTGATCAACCATTGAAGAAAAAAAATTCGAATATTCTATTTAAAATCCCAAAGAAATTATTTTAATAATTCTGAATTCCTTATTCAATAATGGAAGCTTAAAAAGAAAGATTTAATGATCATAGTACCCATAATTATTTAACAAGACCGAACATTGCAAGGTCTTTAAAAGTTTATTTTTCTATTTATTTTTCTGTTCCCTATATGCGGTAAAATTTTTTTTCTATACATATACAGAAACACTATGATAGAAATTTATATAGAAAAGTAAATGAAGTAAATGAATTGTACCTAACCTTGCTCTACGAATCCATTAAAGTGTTCCTATTATACCTATTTTTCTATAATATTTTGTTTATTAAACTGTTCGTATTAAAACAATCATTAGTAAATAAGGAAGTCCATTACGTTAAAGATAATAAAGATGAATTTTAACAATGTATATATATATGTATCTATGTATAAATATATATCTAAATGCATAAAAATGTATCTATATATAAATATATCTATTTAAACCAACTGCACATTTATTTATTCATTTTTATCTTTTTCAACGTTTTACTTTATTAGCGATGCAACGAAATAATTGAAGTTCATATAAGTAGTTAAATATTTCGATTTCCAAAAAAAATTATTTAGATGTACAGACAATTTTACAACAAAAAAAACATAATATTTTTAGAACAGTAGTGAACTACAACAACAAAAATTCATTTTATATTATTTTAGTTGAATTTTTGGCTGACCATACAGATGTTTCGAGTATTGCCAAATGCCCATAACATCAGTGGTCCTGAAAATAATTCTTATATTTAATTATTCGTAAATAATTTTTTGACATTGCAAGTACCAGCAATCGAACTCGCGTCCTACCAAATTTTTAAACTCTCAATTTCTTTGATTCAACAAAAACGGACTCTACTATTAAGGAATGGGGAATATTATGTATATATATAATATATATATTATATATATATATATATATATATATTATATATATTATATATATATATTATATATTATATTATTATATATTATATATATATATATATTATGTAAACGTATTTTTTTCTTATGTATACACATCTATCTATTGACATTATCATAGTTTTATATGAGTACAGTATACCCCATTAATATATAGGTTAGGCTAGGTTAGTTTATAACGCCGATCCAAAACGATTACTAAATAAATCAAAAATAAAATATGTTATATTTATTTTTATTAACATTAACTAGTTTTATAAGCTATCTAATAAGTGAACTGATAAATAGATATAGAATAAATAAATAGCACAACATAAGAAAAATAATAAACAGTAAAGAACGTATACATAATTAAACATAAGTATGTATATAATCTATGTATGTATATAATATATTAATATATACATATTAATAAAACCTGCTATCATATAATCAGGGTATATTCAGGATATTTTGTTAATAGATAGAGACTATTAACGATAACTGTCTCATTTCTTAATTTGTATGGACGAGGGTTAACATTTGAATGGGTTTAATAATATTTTTTTTTGATGGACTTTCAACTCTCGATGCGGGTCAATGTAGTTATGTACTATTTAGCTTTATAGTTTTTTCAAATAATTTTTAATATCAATATTTGTTACAGTTTCGTTTTGTTAACAGTTCCCCAAGTCTTTGTTCTTTACTTCCATTCCGTATTCTCCATCCTACAATCTTTATTTACAGAATATTACTTCATATTCATATTACTTTCGTATAATAAAGACCATAGACTCTGAATCTAGCAAAGAACATAATAGGTATATTGACCAATAATTAGAGTACAAGTAAATTTTTGAGGTTTTATTAAAAAAAAAATAAGATAATTAATAATTCGGTCAGAAAGACAATTACTAGAAAGCAGTGCGTGATGGAAAACAAGAAAAAAAATATTGCAATGTCTTAAATTATATACGATAAATAAGTCAAAAAAAAGAAATTTACTAATATTTTGAATAAAATTAATTTATCCAAAAAATTATTGATAATTTTTATGAAGAAATCAGCTTTAAGACCTTATTAATTCCAAACTAATTTATTAGCAAGAACATGGGAGTCACTAATTGAACTGGAGCTCCAAGACTAGAGCATTACATTTTATTAATCTTAATTTTTTCTCCAGACCTCCAGTCATTAATTGAACTCAACAAACTGGAGCTCTGTCACCATTATAAGCCTATAGATTAATGGTGTTTCTAGGAGTTAATTACCACTGAGTCGGGGTATTATCGATGGTGCTTGGGTTTTAATTAAATATAGGTTCGTTGTGCTTGCTTGGAACATTGATTTTCAAATATAAGTTGCAACAGTGAACAATATACCAGCAATACCCTGAATGCATGGTTTTATAGCCATATAAAATTCTATGAGCCCATGAGTTAAGTTCAATTACTTACAAGAGATCTAAATACAAAATTAAACTTAATAAAATATGTGTATAAAGTAGACAAAAAGCTTACGTGATATTTATAGTAGGTCGATTATCTACAGAGTTATAATTCCTTATATAGTTGAACGATTCGTATGAAATGGTTATGTGTGTAATGATAAAAAACTAATCTCAAAAAAATATACAGGTTAAATTTTTCGTTTTCATGAGTTATTGATTAATAATGAATTGAACGTTGTTCTCAGGAATTTGAACTTTTTCATGATGCCATATGGAATTTTCTCTATAAAAATTTGCAATTTAGTTAGCATAACATAAACCATTACTAGCTGGATATAAAAATACTTTCAAACCATAATAATTGTTAGTTATCCGTGGTCTAGTGGTGTTCTTTGTAGAATAAAATACTCGTAGGATTCTAGTTAGCGTCAGTGGAGTGTACAAAATTGCAAAACACATCCTGAGAGTTTAACTGGCACTAAAGCATAAATGAAAGAAATAACTACCCAGACTTCTTTTATGAAGAATATGAGATCACGAAATACATCTTATAAGTTTCACTATCATTAAAACATTTGAAAGCAATACATAGGCAGGCATCTTATATCGATTAAGAATATAATAATCGGTAAAGTATATTCAATACTACAATTTGTTGATTAGAGAATCGGACTGAGTGAAATATATAGTGAATCGACGAGTATGACATAATAGATCTTTAGATCTGAAGTTCTTAAATGTTAATTCTCAAAACATTTCCAACATCAATAAAAAATAAATTAAATTTTATTGTCTTCATTTTAGAAAAAAGTTTGCATTCTAATTATCTCCAGACAAACTACTTCTGGTAAGCAAAGTTCAGTATGCCTCAAATCTAGTTGTCATGCATTCTCGAGCTGTACATACTCGACATAATCTCAGGTATGCCTGTGCCGAAATTTAATATACTGACTAATCGAAGCGTTGTTCGCAAACTTTGACAAGGCCGAGCCGATAAGAGCGATCGCTAATTATTTTCAGCACTTTTACGAGTTTATTGCACTTTTATCTATGCAGGCACAAAATTTGTTGTCTTTTTCAACTTCGCATTTCTGTGATTTTTTTCATAATTCTTACTCTAAATAATTAAGGTTGCATTAGGTTAATCACTTGGAATATTTGGTGCAATTATTAGATTAGCACGAAACATAAACATTGTAATTTATGACATAAAAGTGAGATTTGAGCAACGCCAAAACTTGAGATTTGCCTTTGTCTTTTAGTGAAATTTGATGGAATTAGAAATTATTGCGAAATAATTTCATTAGTGTTCGCAGTCACAAGTAGACAACACGTTAATTCTAAGTGACAAAATATCAACCAAAATACAAATTAGAAAATAAATTCGGGATTTTATGGTACATGCAAATACAAGTTGAATGATCTTTTGCAGAATTTTAATAAAATAATTTATTATAAATCAAAACTTATAAAAAAGTGAGAATTTGATATAATAAATATTCATTTTAAAATTATTTATAGAAATTTTTAGTATTTATAATAATAAGAATGTAAAATTTTTTTTTTCTTTATAGATATTTTTCAAGCATATGCAATAAAAAGCATAAACTAAGTACAAATTTTTATTATAAATAAAAGCAAAAAGTGAAGAAAATGCCACAACAGCCTTCATACTGGAAAGTCCTTACCCGCCGGAAAGTATTATCTAATGAGGGAGTGGAGAGCGATACTAAACTGAATAGAGTTTTGGGTTTATATGATCTGACAGCACTTGGAGTTGGCTCCACATTGGGAGCGGGTGTTTATGTTTTGGCTGGACAAATAGCAAAAGAACAAGCTGGACCATCGGTAATGATTTCATTTGCAATAGCCGCATTAGCCTCACTTTTGGCAGGTTCGTTTCAAACACATATAACTACAATTATTTAATATTTTGATTTATATTATTTCAAGAATTATAATTATAATTTATTTAATAATTTTTGAATCTCTTCAAAGGTGTTTGCTATGCGGAATTTGGTGCCCGCGTCCCAAAAGCAGGTTCCGCTTATATTTATAGTTATGTTTGCATTGGAGAATTTGCTGCTTTCGTTATTGGTTGGAATCTTATGCTGGAATATATTATTGGTACGGCAGCAGTTTGTCGAGGCATAAGTTTATATCTAGACACACTGATAAGTGATACACTAAAAACTACATTTGCTGAAATAGCGCCAATGCATGTGAGCTTCTTCGGCAGCTATTTTGACTTCTTCGCATTTGGATTGGTTGTAGTTTTTGGCGGTAAGATTATAAAAACTTGATTAAAACGTTATTAGAGACTGTATCAGTAATTTTTTTTAAATGTGAAAGACATTTTGAATTGTATATGGATAATATAGTATATAATCCATATTTGCAAAATGCAAAAAATAAGTACATATAAAAGCGATTGAATTGATGAAAAAATTATATTGCAGAACATAAGTAAAGGGACGAAAGAAAGTCATTTTAAACTTTTTTAATATTAGTATAAATAGTTAAAAAAAAATTAGTGAAAACTTCTCTAAATTCTGTTAACTATGCGGCGTTTCGCCCAAAGAAAGTATTCATTTGTATGAATATTTTATCCAAAATAAGCACCAAAATTGAATTAGTAGGAGTTTAAATTAATTTAAAATGACTTACTTAACATTGAATATTTTTATTTATATAAAACGGATCGAGATTTAATAATAAGGTTATAAAGCATTAAGAGCAATAGCACTTATTCGAATTTTTATTTTTTATAATGTCTTCCATTCAGTAATTCTTGCTATTACTGAATTCTGACATCCGATAATCGAAGGACGAAAAAGGACCCAAGTAGTTTCGTGGTCTACTTCGACGAATCCTTTAATTCAATGGGGCCACTTATTGGACAGTGCGCTGTCCCAACGTCCCACCATGTATATATGTATATATATAATTCTAGCTATTTAAGACAATTGCATAGCCGTAGTCCCATATTTACACTGACAACCCTGTAGCTATCAAGAATCTAAACCTAATCACTAAAAAATAAAGTCTTTAATAGTTACAAATCCCTAAATTTTATGATTCAGAAAATTATATATGGCACAGAACGATATAGAAAAGAACAGCTGTATTTGCTTCTCAAATTCTTCCAGAAAAATATATTGCCTGTCTTTTAGCAATCTGTAATCTATTTCTTAACATATATATAAAATGAGAATAGTTGCATAGAGGAGTAATATGTTTATAAACAACGCTAATTGTCCAAAATAAATCATAAAGAAAAACACTAACATTTCTTTCAATCAAAAAATATATATATATATATATAATTGTTCCGAAAGTTATCACCTGACACGCTTTTGAAGCTTAAGGATGTATGTTTTATTCAATAAATATCTCAGACCGCCGCTTCTGAGAATGAAGAAGAAAACATCACATATTAAAAAGTCGATTTTGTTTTTCTAAGAATTTTAACTTTTATTTCGAGCATTATTTTTAATATATTTCTATAAATATTTCGGCAAATATACTTTTGCCTTCATCAGGAGAGTTCCGAATATTCACATAATCACACATTGTATTTTTATCATTTTTTAAGATATCACAGGCCTATTTATTTTTTGTTTATCAAGATTACTACTATTAACATCCATTCAACAAGAAATGAAATTTTTTAGGGACCTCCCCATGGATCATGTGGTATAACAACGGACCAATTGACTTAAGAGTTTTGGTTTCCAATTAACGAGACTTGACAGTCTCTAGTTACCTATCGACTAGTTGCTAGTTGCTTATGCTGTGTGTTTTATCAGGGAAATAGAAAACCAGGTCCATTGAAGGAAAATTCTTACAACGAAAATACTTTAGAAGTTATAACTGTCATTATACTTCTAACTGCTATTAAAAATAGTAATAATTTATTTACTAAAAAAAATTAATTAAATTAATTTAATTCAATAAAACTTCTATTTTTCAGTGGCACTTGCGTTTGGTGTGGAGACCTCGGCGATAGCAAATAATTTTTGCACCTGCTTAAATATTTCAATTTTACTTTTCGTGATTATAGCAGGTTCCATCAAAGGTAATGATACATATTTAAGTCCCAGTCTTACGTAGCATAAAAATTTATCAAATAATATCAAACTAGATGAACATACAATTTAAAGTATACATTACACAAAACAAAGTGTTCATACTTTTTAAAAAAACTCACACATTATATTATTATATATATCACTTATAATATAACATGTTTTTGTATTTTTATAGCTGACTTTTCCAATTGGAGTATCGACATTGCCAATGTAAATGTCACAGACACTAATCTTGGCACTGGCGGTTACTTTCCGTTTGGAATTTCTGGTACCTTAAAAGGCGCTGCTACTTGTTTCTTCGGTTTTGTGGGTTTTGATTGTATTGCAACTACAGGCGAAGAAGTACGAAATCCTCGTAAAAATATACCTCGATCCATTCTACTATCATTACTCATCATTTTTCTCTGTTATTTCGGTGTTTCGACGGTCTTAACATTAATGGTACCATACTACTTACAAGATGCCAATGCACCACTACCATATGCTTTCAAAAATGTCGGTTGGACTTTTGCTATGTGGATAGTTTCAATTGGTGGTCTGATAGGACTTTTAGCAAGTCTTTTTGGGGCCTTATTTCCTTTACCTCGTGTTATGTATTCAATGGCCGAAGATGGTTTGCTATTTAGATTTTTGGGTAAAGTAAGTCCACGTTATCGAGTGCCGGTAGTTGGCTCTATTTTCGCAGCCATGATAACAGGTAAAAATAAAGGAATTATTGATTTTAACGTTACTATTATTTATTCAATATTTAATATATTTTTAGCACTAATTGCTGGATTATTTGATTTGGCACAATTGGTAAATTTGCTCTCAATTGGCACTCTGTTAGCTTACAGTGTAGTGGCGATATCAATAACTATTTTAAGGTGATTTTTTTTATTTTAAAAAGAAATTTAAATAATTGTGATAAAATGAAATTGCACATAACATTGCATCATATAATAATGCTATTATCATAATCATATGATAATGCTTCTAAGAACAAAAGTTCTCATAAGAAAGTAGAAACAAAATATGTGAAAAAGTCAGCTATGGGTGTACAAAGTTTGAAACCGTACAGACTTTAAAATTTATTCAACAAAAGATTTCAAAATGTTCAAGGCTTCCAGTAGGAAAGGGCATTGCCACCATAGTAGATACTTAGTACCAACAGCTAACCCTAACCGTACAACGTTTTGTATATTGATCAGACTATCTCTCTTTTAGAAGTTCAGATGAGAATAGGTGACCCTGATGTGGTATTATCGTCGTCTCACAAATCAAAGTAGGTCATTTAAAAAAAATATAATGAGTAATGTAATCATTTAATAATGTAATTATTTTCTTGAAAGTAGAAACAGCAATCTATTAAACAATCTATTATCTTAACTCCATTGTTAGCCAGTTAATACAGCTTGAGATTACCCATCAGGTAATATGTCATAGTCATAGCTCTGTTTTATTTAAGAAGATATATGAATACATAGTTTAATTTTGTTGTAACAGGAAAAAATTTATTTTATATGAATATGAATGTAGTCAACTAAATTGTTTCTATAGTTTTTCCTGTTTCTTGAATATTATCTCGGTTTATAGCAATACTGTAATATTATATATATATAATGTAAGAATATATAAATAGTTGAAGAAACACAAAAGTTATCCACAGAAGTACTTGAATTCAATCTCGGCGCATATAGCCCATAAATCAAATATTTTTACGATTTTATATATCGTCTCTGTTTGAACTATTACTATGAACATATCTTAATATCTTGTATCTTAATTTCAGTAGCATCACAACAAATAAGTATCTGCTTTGAAAAAATATTTTTAATTTTTTTTTAACAGGTACATGGACAACTCTGACGAATCTGATAGAGAAAATGGAAACCAACCATCTTCGGAAAGTACTCTATTAACATCCACCGGAAATAGGATAACTTTTAAGGCCGTAATGATACAATCATTCAATTTCAAGCGAGTACAAATACCGAATGAAATTTCTACACGTATCGTGGGCACTTTGATGACACTTTTCTGTAAGTTCAACCTCAAAGTCAGTAATATTATAAAAGTTCTTAAAAAAATTATTTAATGATAATAATAAATAATAAACAGATCCTTTGTAGTCCATTGACAAACATGAATCCAAGTACTAAATTCATTGTACATAATCAAAACTCTCATTGACATTGTCAAATTTTTTTGTTGAAGCTGGTGTCCGATCAAAAAACGTAGAGCTATTCTAAATAATAACAGAATGAAATTTGATTTTATCTAGCAATGATAAAAATTGATTTCAGAAAGAAGATACCACTTTTCTTTATTCAAAAGTTAACACTAAGAGTAATCAATCAATCAATCAATCCAGTACGTTCCCAGGGGAACATTGGGCCATAACGCACTTTTTCCAACTGTCACGATTTTTTGCCACGGTTTTAATTTCTCCAAAGGTTTTTCCGCTTGCTTGGATTTCTTTCTCCAGTGTTCGCTTCCACGTTTGCTTGGGCCTACCAACTAAGAGTAATGGTTAATTGAAAACAAATACATAGAAACAACATCTGCTGATTTTATTACGAAATCTCTCATTTCCACTTATCTGCTATTCAGATAATATATATACTTACCATTAAGTTGGAAAAACTGATTTCTTTAACTTATGAACCCATAAAATATTAAATCTTTCGATGACATTACTGTCTAAAAGGCCTCAGTTTATAGTTACTTATTTTAGTAACATTAGTACGGATTAGTAACGGATTCAACTTAGACCTGTTTACTCATTGGTTTTATATATTTTGATTAATTTTATATATTTTTAGGTCTGCTTTCTCTTGGCATTGGACTGATTCTTATGCAAGCGTATGATGCACTGGAAAGCAGTGAGCTATGGGCCGTCATGCTCCTATCTATACTTGTTATTTTAACAACTATGGTCTTAATTGCGATTTGCTCTCAACCTAGAGAGGCTTATACACGTTTCTTCAGAGTGCCATTTGTGCCGATAGTGCCGGCTATTAGTATTTTCATTAATATTTATCTTATGCTGCAGTTGGATACAATGACTTGGATACGCTTTGGTATCTGGATGATTATAGGTAAGCTAGCACATTTTTTACTAATAATAATATTAGTAATTGCATGCACATTAGTTAATTGGTTGTAAAATTTGTTCAAGTATCTGTTCCAATAAAAAGAAGTTTCATCTGCATCCGAACTAACTTCACACGTAATTACTAATAAAAAATTTTAACATTAGGTATACCAATGTTTATTGCATGTTGGTGCATGTATGATATAAAGAATCCAATGAAACGTAATCCAAAGCGTATAGAATTTCTAAAAGACCTCAAAGCAACTGCAGATGATAAAAATCCTAGAAATCATAAAACAAATGGCAAACATATAGTTGAAGCCAACAAAGGAATGGCAAAAACTGCAAACAATGGTAAAGAGACACCAAGTGATGCCCCAAACGGTACGACAATGAACATCCAAAATGAGCATTCTGTCAAAAGTTTAGATGAGATTATGAATTTGAGTGAAGTTGGTGATGATTTGATTGAAAAAAGACATCCCAATGGGAAAGTATTTTATATTGAAGACACAAAGAGTAACACTTCTACTGCTACACTGGAAAACGATGACGAACGAAAAAAAAATGGTAGCACTGATACCACAGACGATGAAAAGTCAGTTATTGCTATGTTAGATGATGTATTAAAGGCGGAAGATGAAAGCCCACAGGTGGACGCAGTACCATATTTTAGTCGCAAATTGAGTGTGGACTCAGAAATGATGCCAAGTGTTATTGAAACTACCACCGTTGCAACGGTGCATAGTAGTAGCGATTCTTCAGAAAAAGACATCGATGAAATGCCAGAAGTGGACAATGAAATAGAGAACCGAAATCGCCTTAATTCAAATTTTGAGTTATATGCTGAAAGCCAAATAGTGGCACAAAAATTAGTAGACGAAATATTAAATAGCGATGAACTCTGGCAAACATTGTTGGAACGTAGAAAGTTACAAGTACAACAGGAAATAGAAAAATCACCCGAAATAAATGAAACCGTTAATAATGTATTAAGTGTTATAGAAAATGACAATAAATTAAAAGACGCTGAACCTGTTGAAGCAGTCAGTATGAGACGCACAAACTCAGTTGATTCACTACTATCAACAAATTCAGTGGAAGATCCATTGCGTTCGGAAAAGTTTAAAAATAAATTAAGTAGATTAATTATGAAACCACCACCCATTGCCACAAACAAATCAAACAAAGAAGAAGAAACAGGGAGCACAAATCTTAAAGATGTTGCGACTCAGGAACCCAAGCTGAAACAGTCCAAAAGCGAAGCTGATATTAAGAAACTAATATTAAAAGCAATTGAAGGAACTGGAATGAGTTTAGATGATGACACAAATAATACTATGAACCAAAAAAATAATGACATACCAAAACCACCAAAGTTTGATCCAGTACTTTATAAAACTATAAATAGTCTGAGTATGAATAAAGAACGACCGAGTCTTGATAAATTATTAAAAACCGATGAAGAACCAAAACTGAAACGTTTCACATCCCAGCAACCACAATCAGTTGAACCGCAAGTGCCATTTAAGCAAAAATTAGAAGCTATACTAAGACGTGGTCCTTCTAATCGCTTACAAAAACCTCCAGAAGTAATTTTAAGAAGACCCAAATCTATTGGTCCTACAGAGGACCTACCAACTAATACTTTTAACGTTCCTGAAACTCAAACAAAAAGCATTGCAACAAAATCTGAAACTAGTCTCAACACAGATAACCTAACTCCTTTGGAGACAATTAATCACATAAAAAATACACTCAAGCCTATCAAAAATGGTAGTGTCCAGTTATAGTATTTACTGATACTGTAGTTTTTAATTGGTAACTAATATTTATTATGTATTATAAAAATTATATGTTTTAAGTATTATAGTATATGCAGATCGTAGTAGTTGTACAAAAAAATTAATTATTAATAAATAAACTTTTAGAAGTGCTTCCAAATTTAAAGTAATTCACATTCATCTGGATAACCTTTCATTATTTTTGATTAATTTGAACGCTTAAAAAAAATTGTAGAATTGAAATATATATAGAGTGTTTCTGTTTAAAGTATATTTGGTGTAGTAGGTGTTTCGTTGAGTAAAAAATTTAAAAAAATTTGAAAAATAATAAGAAATTCAAGGCATCAAAAAAACCTTACCCGAAGTTACCATTCATTCCTAATTTTTTAATATCTCTCAAACGGTTAATGCTTATAGTTTCCTACAAGAGCTAAGTTTGAGTTCAAACATATTTTTGTTTTTAAATAGACTTTAATGCATATAATTTAGTGGTTCGAACTGTATTTTTTCTTGTTTTTAAATTACAATTGATTAAGTGAATAAACGATTTTAAAAATTATCGAATGTTTTTTGTCGGAATATTAAGTTCGACTAAGCTTAAATGTTTTGCAATTCGACAAATATTAATAATAGACCCTTCTTCTTCAAATATTTTTGGTCTTTTGAGCAAGACACACCATCCGAAATTTTTTGAGTAAATTTTTTTTCTAAGTAAAGTTTTAAGAATTATTCAATTTCCAAATATGATTTTTTTATTGCTTTATCTCAAGAACTTTATCATGACTAATAAACTTTAAAACGAAACACCCTATATATATCTACTGCGAAGAGAATAATGCATGCTTAATATGAATTTTATTAGTCATTAAGAATAAATTCACAATATGTATTAATGCAAAATTCGGTACGAGCATTAATGATTAAAGAATATAGAAAAGTAGATTAAGTTTGATATCAAATAAGACATAAAATTAATAATTTGCATGAATTTTTATGAATTTTATAATTATATGGAAACGACATTCAAATTTTGTACTTAGAATACAGTTTAATCATATATATATCATATTTATATATATTAAAAACTTTAAATAATACATTCTGAAAAAAGATTAGAAGAATTATGGATTTAGTCAACGAAACCCCAGAAAGAATTTTTGGATTTTGCTTCAGTATCTTAAACGAATTTAAGGCTTTAACCCATAATGAAGTCAAAATGAGTACCACTGAATAAAAATGAAAACTATAATGTTTGGTTAATTGTGTTTATTATATATATAGACTTAAGTCCGTTCCCACTGTGGAAACCGACTTAGGTTAAGTTAAGATTATAGGATAACCGGCTTAGGATAGACTTGCTTATATGAAACAATATGATCTTAACTTTTTTCTGATATTTTTATCAGTTAAAGAGGTTTCGAAATGGAACTATTTATGTTTTCGATAATCTCTAGGCTTACACACATAGTAGGACTTGTAAATTAATATTTAAAAAAAAATTAAACAAAATTAATTCATCCAAAGATTATTATTATAAATTGATTGGGTTGACATATGAAATACCTATCGTAAAACGAAACTTAAGATGAACTTAATGTTCAACAAATTTTTTGTTATATCATGATATATAACAGGAATGCAATGATTTATTCAGCTTCTTTATACAGACTTAATGCTAAATTGTACTCATTTTGGACCAAATTAGTTAGAGGATCACCAACTTTTGTAATAGGGATTTTGAAAAAATCACTAACGAGATTCTTAACAGCTAAAAATTACAGGTACTTCTTTTTACAGAATGTATTTATATCCACAAAATATATTATCCCAGTGTAGTTTTGAATATATAAAATATATTTAAAAATTAATTATTAAATATTATTTTTAAATATTTTAAAAATTCACAAATGCGTTAAAAACATAACAGCATGAAGCTTATGGAATTTTAAAAATGAATATAATTTATTTTAAAATATTTTCTTAAACTTCAGGACTTTCAATATACTTTTTCTATGGACTACCGAATAGCTTGCGAGAATTAAGAAGACAGCGCGTGGGCTGGCAAAAATTAAAATATAGTGATTATTTTTAATTATACATTTTATCATTAATTATAATAATCATTGATCAAGAAATATTTTTTTGATCATTTCATATAGAAATAAATTAAGATATTTTTATGAAACTGAAATTTATAAATAATAATGTAAATAAATCACAAATAATAAAAATTATAAAAAAAACTTAATGAATTTCATTTCAAAATCAATAACAAAAAATTGTACATATTAAATAATACATATATGCCATCTTTAACTTTTGATTACCTAAGCCTGAACAGTTTATAATACTATCATTCAAACGGTTTTATTTCGAGCAGAAGTAAGATACATATATAACCTACCATTGCACCAACGAAATTAAAATTAATATATTAAGCGTATTCAGATTTTATCGCCGTAATACTATACATATATAGTATTTAAAGTAAAACGAGGGACACAAACTTCCATAATATCTACGAAGTTCAAATTTATATATCAAGCATATTCAGACTTTATCGCCGTAGTACCAATATAAGATTTGCTCTAATAAGAAGGACATAGACTACCATTACAGTCATTAGACTAAAATTGAGGAATTCATTTTATTCAAAATTCATCACTGTAGTAGTATATATACATATATATCTTATGAACACAAGTATTATTTATAAACTGATTTAAAGTGACTTTTATTAAAATACATATTTTCTTTCTATTTAAAATAGAAAGATGATAATAAGATAAAATAATCAGAATAAAGGACAATAAGATGGTAAGACTATGTTTATAAGAATCATTAGGCCGCGTATAATAAAACATCGAGACTTTAGAATTTTTTTATTCTACAAAAAAGCTCCAATCAGGTTTTTTAGAATATAATGAACAAGTTGGATTATGTACTATTATACAATTAAATTCTGTTTGTAACTTTTTAAAAGTCCTTTATTAAAAAAGAAAACAGAACTTTCATAGTAATAAACAAACTAATATGATATACAAATATTTTTTTATTAAAATAGCATGAAGAGGAAAGGAGGATGAGGGATAGATCCTTCTTTGATTATATAATCTAAAGATAATAAACTACAAAAATACAGCTTAAGCATATATTATTATCTGAAATATACACATATTTTCAAATATATCTCCCCGTGATACAATCCTGGTAATGCCACTGTGTTTGAAGAAGTGCTCTGTAGCCATACTACTGATAAGGTATTCCAAATATTTCCCAATAGTACAACAATTTGTAATATATTTTACAACGATTTTTTTATTTTTTTCTAAACATAGTATATCTTTAAATATCTGTGAATATATGTTGTGAGAAAAAGTAAAGAACCCTAGCCATTAATCTGAGAGTCTTTGACTAAATCAATGCAGTTGAATTGTTATAAGTATTCCGTACTTGTACTACATTGAAATTGTACAGGATTTAATAACAGACTTATATATTGAAATTTGTCTTGACAAATTTTATAACTCTTTTATATTATTAAAAAAAATTTGATTTATTTTATATAATTAAAAATATTATTAATAAAAATTCTGAAAATGCTAAATTCCTATTTCATAAATATATAAAATTTTGATTTGTTGAACTTATCTCTGTTAATTGATTTTATCTTTAAGTTATTTCATTATATCTGTTTTATATTATCTAGAGTGAAACAGAATATCTTTTAAATTGCAACTATGTTTAAGACAGATATTAACAGGAGTACACCTAATATTAAATATATACACTTCAATGTTGCTTTTCTAAAGAATCATACAATATTTTTTGGTTGCAATGAATTTCGCTAAAATATTTATATTGATTCATATTCTATTGAATCCTATATCTTATTGATTCATATATAAATATATGTGTTATATATATATAAACATATACATTTATTTTCAAATCTATCTTCATGTAGTCAAGTAATTGATACAAAAGTATAATTATGAGAAAGCTGAATTTTGGGACAAATCTTCATCATTTATTAACTTAATCCTTCATTATCCTTAATTCTAATGTAAGTTCATTTATCCTTATTTACTTATTACTATTAACCTAAAGTAAAATTTATCACTAAAAAGTACTTAATTCAAAAATAATTTAATTAATTGTCGTAATGTAGTTAATAAAAAATATTGATTATCATATCTAATTTCTATGATTGTTGCTAGATTTATACATACAGTGGCTCACAGCTTATTTGATGCAAGCAAAAATTTTTTGAAAAATGTTGTTTATTTCAAAATATTTTGCAAAATTAAAAAAACAAAGTATGCAGAGTTATTGTTTATAGTGTGTTTATTCATTTTAAAAAAAAAATCCCAAAAATCTTCTTCCATTCCTTAGTAATGCATCAAAAACCAAAAGTAAATGAAAAATTCATGTCACAGCTTAAATGATGCAACATCAAAGAAACTAATATTTTTACAAACTTCCGGACTAATTCTAAGTACTTAGTACTTTGTTGGATATCCCTTATTAGTAATAACAGCATGAAGCCTTTTTGGCATGGAATCAACCAGTTTTTTGGTATAATCTGGACTAATTTTACTCCACTCTTGCTGTAAAGCGTTTCTTAAGTCAAATTTGTTGCGGATGTCATGTTTTCTGATATTTGTCTTCAAAACGGACCACAAATTTTCAATAACGTTCACGTCTGGTGATTGTGCAGGAGTTTGGACAATGTGTGGACATTGCCATATCAACCACGTTTGTACTAATGCTGACTTGTGCTTAGGGTCGTTGTCTTGGTAAAAGCGAAAATCATCTGCAATCTGCAATTTCGTTGCACTTTGAATCAAATTTTCTTGAAGAAGCTTTAAGTAAATATTTTTATTCATAGATTCTTCGATGAAGACCAAATTTCCTACTCCATTTGATGACATACATGCCCAAACCATAACATTACCACCTCCGTGTTTTACGGTAGCACGTAAATTTTGTGGTTTGAGCTCAGAATTGACTTCGTGCCATACATAAGATCTTCCATCTGATCCAAATAAGTTTATTTTGACTTCGTCTGCAAAAAGTACATTTCGCCAAAATGCTGGACTCTTATTTAAATGCTCTCGTGCAAACTGCAACCTTTTAATTCTATTTTTTGCACTTACGAAAGGTTTCTTTACAGCTATTCTTCCATTGAAATTTGATTCTCTCAATATTCTGCGGACGGTTTCAGGATGACAAATTTTTCCAAAATCTATTTTGGCCATGTCTGTCAACTTTGGAGCACTAATTGTTGGATTTTTTCGAATTTGGTTTACCAAATACCTCGATTCTTTTTCTGTAAAAATTTTATTGGGAGCCTTTCGTCCCTTATTTTCTATGCGATTTTCATGTACGAAGCGTTCAATTATGTGTTGAACTGTTGAAGAGCTTATATTTACCATTTCACCAATTTTACGCTGGGGAATTCCCTTTTTAAAGTACTCCAACACTAACTCACGCTTTTCAATTGATGTGCGCCGACCCATGGTTAACAAAATGCACTCACTTTAATTTTTATAATACTTTCGCTCAAAAACTAGATTACAAATGATCGCAGAATAAAAATATTTTAATTTCTGTGTAATCTGGCGACAAAAATAACGGTATTCTCAACTGCATCATTTAAGCTGTGACATGAATTTTTCATTTGCTTTTGGTTTTTGATGCATTACTAAGGAATGGAAGAAGATTTTTGGGGTTTTTTTTTTAAAATGAATAAACACACTATAAACAATAACTCTGTATACTTTGTTTTTTTAATTTTGCAAAATATTTTGAAATAAACAACATTTTTCAAAAAATTTTTGCTTGCATCAAATAAGCTGTGAGCCACTGTATGTTAACCATATATTATGTATGTATCATAATTAAAATAGTATGCTATCCAACAGAATATATATTGTGTATGTATGTCAAGCATAAAATAATAAGTTTTCATTACTTCAAAGTTTCTGGCATCTGACACACTACAATCCGATTTTATAGTCGTAACTTAAGTCTTTAAACTGTTTTAAGTGTGATTTAAGACAGCAAAGTTGACAACTTAAGCATGACTTAAGTAAATGTTGCAGAGTTAGGTTGCGACTTAAAAACAAACATTTTGATATTTCATGTAAATATTTTAAAAAGAAAAATATTTAAAACTTACCTTAACAGTTGTGAAATTAACATATTTTAATATCACTATTAAAAGATTTTAAAAAAATGTTATAAAAATTGATTGAATTTACCACAGAACGTATAGAGAAGCTTGGTACTTAAAACCCGTTACGCATTGAAAACAATAACAAAACACAAAAAAATTGATTTAAAACCAACCAAAATGAAAAACTCATATTACAGATTTTAAAGCACTTTTTTATTTAACTTTTCAAAACTTGATTTAATATTTAAAACAATATATAATTAAATTAGAATAACACTAAAATATTTACAAATTTTTTACTTAAAAACTTACTTTACATCGCGACCAAGCATTTCTCAATAATTTTCTCTTAAGAGGCGCAAATTACGACTAAACTACGAAATATCCAAAGAGCTTTGCACTGCCAAGCAAAGTTGAACCGGTAAAAACGGTTTTAAGAGAAAACGCAATGCAACAATAAAACTTGTTTACACGTGCGTTGCTGGGTTGACTTCACGTTGTTGTTGCATTTTTGCTAAAATCAAAATATTTACATTTTATACAATAAATAATAAAAAAAAAAAAACAATAAATTTGATAATTAAATAAATGACAGCAATATTTTTTTAAGTCCATTTATGTAAGTCTGCTTTTTTTGAATATACCTACACACTTAGGTGCAATTATACTAAATGTATGCGGAATATGCACATCTCAAAAGTGGGGAATGTAATAAAACATGTCTTCAATATACCATACATATGAACAATGTGCAAATTTTAGAAATTCTACAGTGACCACAGGTGGTCCGCGAGATGGTTAAAAACGGTCCACGAATCAATTTTAACAGATTTGGATACATAGATTGTAGTTTGTCCACTGAAATCTCACTTATAAGAAAACAAGAATAACAATTTCCAAGTAATTGTATATATACCTATTTTAAAGCCCATATACCAATCCACTTATACAATTCATTATACATTATACCAGAGCAATGCTTAAAGCATATTAAAATAATCATACAGTTTATTATTCTTAAACTTTGTGTTCTTTGATCAAGGATATCATAGTGATCCTTGAACAAAAAAAGGTCGAGACTTACCAATCGAAAATGAAAACTGCACTAAAAGCGAATCTCGATTGCAAAAGTCGCCCCAAATTTATCATTTAAAAACGACATTGGAGTAAAATTACACATTTGCACACTGTCGAGCCCTTTACAAAATTGTATATGTATGTATACTATTGATTTATTTTATATTACTCTAAGTCTAAATTATTGATTACAAAATCATGTAATTATATTTACTATCACAACTTAATTTCGTGATAACGTCTGAGCAATGTCTTGTTTCCAAATTAAGAGGACCCATTCAAACTGCTGTTAAACTCCAAATATATTTTTTCATCTTTCTCTTTAACATACGAGTATGTGGTCAGTTGTGATCAAACACTACATCCACATTGATGTTAGCTTTTTCATATTCCATTAATAAATAAAACTCAAATTACTAGGATGTATAATTAGTTATATTATCGCATCTAAAATATCAATAAAACAAAATCAAATATTTGTTCAATAGTTATATAAACTCCACAGAAACCTGTCTAATGTATACATTACACACAATCCCTATGATATCTTCTGTGCTATCGGTCAACAACAATACATAGACCTGTTTCTATGTTTTAAGTGTAGTGACAGCAATTTAGATTACAATATAGTAATACTACGTTATTCCGAATTTTTTTTAAAAACTTTCGAAGCTACGATTGATATGGTATTTGGTCGAGTGGTATTTCAGTATAGTAATACCTACTACCTGAGCCCGGCATTTTTTTAAAAATTTCAAGTTAGTATTAAAATAGTATTTGAAGAATTTCAATTTTAGTACAGTAATACTACCTGATCCTAAATTTTTCTTTAACCTACGAAGTTAGGATTAGTATACTCTTACATCTTACTTTACTCATTGCATTTAGCTGAAACGAAATATATAAGTTTTAGTAATCAAAAATCCCATGAAATTGATAAAGAATGCATTCTTTAATGAATGAAAATCTCCAATCTTCTTATATACCTACATTCACATGATCTCTTAACAAGTGCAATAAACCACTATTTATAAATATATCTGATATATATATTTTCACTTTAAATCGAAATAATTTAGCACTATAAATCAGTTTATTCCTATCTTTTATTTGCAAGGTATTCCAAAGTAGGTTTTATAAAGTAATTTACAAACTATGATTTTAAGATTTTTAATTACCAAGCAAAACAATCAAATATATATAATAATAAAATTGCATCTAAAGGCTATAAAAGTTTTCAATGTACATTTTAAAAATAAAATAATATAACATTTATTGCAAAGCACTTTGTGGTGGGGTTAATGGTGTCCAACTTCCCCCAGATGTAGCACCAGTGCCAACAGTAACTACTGAAGTTGGTACTGCCGTGATACCTGAGGAAGTAGCACGTTCATGCGCCGCTGCTGCACCTTCAAGATTTTCCAATTTTACAGATGCAGTAGTGGTTGAGTTTGTGTTATTTGTTTTCATGCTGGAACATTCCAGAGTGAGAACCGAAGTGCCCTCCTCTTGTGCTTTGTAAATTGCAGTTTGAGTGTCATCAAGCGTTTTTGAAACTTCAACCGGCTCAAGTGCATGTGACGCGTAACTGCAAAGGTGTTTAGTTAGTTATTTAAATTGGATTGACTAATAACTAAATGCGCAACTTGCACAATTCTTAGTTATGTTCCAACCTACCCAATATCGGTGACAAGAGGTATATATTCGGGCTGATAGTAAGCTGCATTCTGATAGAAACCGTATTCAGCGCCAGCGCTATTGTGCCAAGTACTAGCGGGATAGCTAAGTGCTGTTGGCGCATTTATTACATTTGTATATAGTTGATGTGAGGGTGAAGTGGGTGTTGGATGATAGACTGTTGGAGTACCATAGCTTTGTGGTGGTGAGGCTGTTGTCGAGCTTTGGTACATTTCAGAATTCACATGCGCTGATTGAGTCATGTTGTACTGGTGCGCATGAGGTGTTAGATGATGTATAGTATAACTCGGCGATGATGTGTTGTAATTTGGAGAACCATTTGTTGGTGATGGAGAATTATGTGTTGCTTTAAAAAAAATGAAGTGATTTTAAAATTATTTACTATTCTTAAGGTTTCTGTACAAAATACATACATAATGTTCTGCCTGTATTAGAGCACACATTCACTGGCACCGGTCCAGGTACTGCTGTTGAGCTCCAATAATTACTATTACTTTGCCAACTGCCTGGGTAGGAGAACATTGAAGCACTAGAACTTGGTTCAAGCGGCATGAAACTTGATTGTGAATAGGAACTTGTAAAGGCAGCGGAACTAGTCGGAACGCCTGTTATACTACTAGTGCTTGTTTGTAAACCGGTTGGTGTATGTGGTGCGGACGGTGGTTGTGGTGGAGATGCATTACCGGTGCTTCCATTGGAACCAGTGCTGGATACTATACGTGGTCGAGTATATGGTGTTGAACGATTATTATTTGAAGAGCTTCGGGATATTGAACGCCCATAACGATCGCATGTAACAGCGCTCAACGAGGGTGCTGAAACTGGTGGCAATGAACTTGTTGGTGGTGGTGGTGGTGGTGCAGCTGCAGGATTAGTATAATGCGTAGGAATTAGCCAACCATAGTGTGCATCATGAGAGTACAATGTATCAGGACGCTCCTTTGTGAAATGGGTTGTGTTTTTATTAGCAACTAGAAATTCCATTCATTTGTAATCAATATTTACCTTTGCATCCAAAAAAGCTTTTGCGAATGGATTGTATTTTATTTTTAATGAAGTTACTTCTTCATTTTGGTAAGCTGTGACTGCAATAAATTGTGTCTCTGGAAACGGATAAGTAACCATATGACGTTGTTCAGAGCCAACGCGTACCAGGTGCACTCGAGGTTCGTATTTATGAAGCGAATTTAACATAATCTGTAAATATAAATATGGATATAAATATAAATTTAAAATAAAATATTAATTAAATATAATGTCATGTTAAATAATAGGGAAAATTATATTAGAATAAAATATATCAAACATAATATTAAATATATTAAAATAATATGTTTACCTGTCCATTGCCATTTGTTTTATTTGTAAGCTTGACTTTTGCAAATGAAATTGGTTCCTTCATCCAATGTGCTCCAAAATTTGGTGATTCTGGGTGTACATAAATTGGATTTGATGGTGGTACTTCTGCTTTACCTCCTGGTACCTATATTTTTATCAAAATATTATATTTAAAATATTTATAAAATATTATGAAAAATTGAATATTACCCATTCTCCATTAACATATTTCCAACGATGAGAGTCTACTTGTACAAACTCTAATAAAACGGTGTACATGGCTGCTGGATCCAACCCAGAAGCGCTTATCTTAACAACAGGAAACATTCGCCTTTAAAATAAAAAATATATATTGTTAATATAAAATGAAATTAATGCTAAAATTAAATATGACTTTTAATATAATTTATATAAAATCGATTGCCACAAAGGCAAGCGCAATCGATTTTTTCTTCCCCAAAAAAGACTCAGGTACAAAACACCAGAAATATATCCAAGATTATAAACTAATAGAGTGTAATTATGTACTTCATAAACATTTAGTATTTGCATATTTATTAAAAATATAAAAGTAATGTTCATGTACATATACATATACATATATAAAATAATAAACCAAGTAATGAAATACTCATTGATGAGTTGAAGACATACATATATTACATATGTATATACCTACATCTATATAATAAAAAAAAACACTTCATATATATAAATATAGAAGAAATATTTGCAAAAACAATATTAAATAAAGTTAGAAACTTATCATCCTAAGTTTTTTTTGTAAGCTTATATATTAGTAAGCTTCTTTAAATATTTTACTAGCTTTACCAGTGAAAGATCAATACAAAATTATGATATTTATGATATCAACCCAAAATATTAAATCAATCCTTTTTTTTAAATCTTAAAGCATAGTTAGATTAATTGACATATATATAAATGTATGATGTTATTATAAATCCTATATTTTAATAACAATGTAATCTGCTCATAATATCAGTGAACTTTTCTATCGCCTTATCTTTTTAGTCTAAATTAAAAATATATGTTTTTTATCTGAAATAATTCATAAGTAAGCTTAGGTTGGTTGGAGTAGTGCTCTGATGCACCAAGCCCCTGTGATCGCAAATAAGTACTGTATAAAAAATGTTTTAAGTTATGAATGAAGTTGAGTATTTTTTTGTATCTTTTAAAATAATTTCATTCTGAGCGATATATTCATGCCATATTTTTAAATACTTATCTTTTGATTAAATATAGTTTTTGACAGTATTTATGTAGTATGATTATTTACTTTCAGTTCAATATCTTCGATTACAGATTTTAATTAAATATTTTAAGTAGGTATTAAACCTTCAAATTAATAATACATATATATTACTTTTGATTAAAAAACCAAAAATTTCTTTTTAGTTTAAACTGCTTTTATTACCATAGCAGCATAAAATGAGTTTCACGAAGTTTCATCCATTAGTTTCGGTTCCGCGATACTTTTCCTATCTTACCCTTAGAGTACAACTCTTCTATTTATTGTCTCTAACACTCTTTCCTCAAATTTGAGTATTATATATTATTCCAAAAGATATTTTTACTTCTGGCTTAGATTCTAGAATGCATTTGGAAATTCTAATTTGGTTGCTTTCAGGTGATATGTTTATAAATTTTTATAATACTGAACTGAATTCAGTATAAAATTACGGATTTCTTTACTAATCATTTTATACAAAAAGGAAACAACCAAGTCGTTATAATCTTTATTATATAATCTTAATCTTAATCTTTATAATTTAATCAGCTTTTTTAGATGAATTCAGAACAGTCTGGTACTCGTAGAACAAAGAAGTTAATGTTTTTGTTTTCTTTCTATATTTGTGAATAATAATTTAAAACGCAAAAGTATATTTTTTTACCGTTATTTTAGTAAACAAATTATATATTAATTATTATAAATTATTTATCTCAATACAGTTTAAACATTTATATTATTATTTTCCGCAGTATTATTTTTTGTTATACTCATTTATTTACAGGGTGATAGAATCAGTAGCTTTGCATGTATATCTTCCACCTTATTTATTTTTTGCAAAAGCTATTTGACCGTTGTGAAATTTAAATATACCAGTGTTATATCTCTTCGTTTGAAAAGAAAATCATAATTAGCTACAGTTTATTCTAACAATAACCACCTTATGAATAAATTTTTCGTGTTCCCAAATATAGAACTGCTCTCACAAATATACTACGTTTTTACTGGTAGTGCTGCAAAATGATATTATGGAGAAAGAGACATTTACGACAGAAGTGGTTTAATAAACATTGCATCAAATGAAACTCACCCCGCATTGGAAGACACCCAATATTATTTTAACACGAGGTCAATGTGAAGCTTCATAAGTTCCAAAAGACAAGGATTTACGATTGTTAAAAGAAAACTAGAAAACTATGGAAAGTAAAAGCTTATGCATTGACGTTTTCTTATGACTAGTAGAATTCTCCAACTGAACGAATTGAAAGTGAACGAAATATTTAAGAAATTAAAAAAATTTAGTTCTTTAAACTGCAAGTGGCACAGTTGGTTTAGGTGAACAAGATAGTTGGTGACTGATCGCTGTTGGTGTATTTAAACTATGACATTTAAAGTTATTTCTAATATGTACCCGAATGTTCTAAATAGAACTTTGAAGTCGTGGGCAACTACTTATTTCAATAGGAGACGGTAGACATTACCAGAAGATTTCTATTATACATGTAAATAAGAGAGAATGGATATTACCAGAAGAATCTGTACCGTTTTGCCCATGAGGTAAAAATGGCTGTGAGACAATATTTCAGAATATATTTTGAACTCACATCAGCTCCTCGTTTGACTTTTGTGACTTTTGTTAATGGCATTCCATGCTAACCAAGGTCGATACTAAAAATTGGTGGATTAAGTTAACAGGGTCAAGTTAGTACACATTCATGCATGTTTTACAATTAACTCATTATTTTCTAATAACATTTTATTGACTTTTAACGTTCATTTTGACGAAAGACTCTTAATTCTTAATATGAATTACAATTTTCAATGAAGAAGTTTTCATCGAACAGTAGCGAAATTGCAACAACAAAAAATGTTGAGTTCTTGGCAATACACAAAACAGCGTTGAATGTTCAACCAAATTTCAATAAATGAACTAAAAATTTTTGTTGTTGTCTTTTCATTTCTGTTCAAACCCTTTTAACTTTTAAATAGCTTCTTTTCGTCTTAAGTCACATCACTTTCAGCAAGAAAAAATAAAAAAAAAAATCATTTTGTTTATTTAATTTCAATCAATTAAATTTTCGGCTGACCATGTAGCTATTTCGAGTATTCTTTAATACCCATTATCAAAGGTCTTGATATTATTACTATTATCTCAAAATTGTATTATTTTATATTAACTCAGAGAAATGCACTTTTGACTTGTAAACTACAGTGTTCTATAAAAATGAACTGCCCTGTGTAAATCTATTTTCTAAAGTAAGTGAACTTTTTTAGTATAATTTCCTGCTATTTAATCATTATACAAAGTTAAACAAATTATTTACCAAATTCATAACAATCGGGATTTTGTTTCACAACATTTACAAATGAAACCCTGCATAAATTAGCACCTTTAAAAAATATTCTAAATTTATTTTTGTACTGATTTACTTTGATTTTAAATTTTTATTTTGTTATTAGTGAAGTGAATATTATTTTCTTCGACAAGACAAGTAAACATATTTTTTTATTGTATTTTACTTATTTTTCAAAGGCGTGAAAATTTATAAATACTAAAACGTTAACAATTCATTATTACTTGCAAAAATGTACGAAATAAATATAACCGAGAAGCTAAACTAGATTTCGTCGAAAACAAACTCCATTGCCATTTAGCAAAAACAACAATAACAACAATTACAACAATAACAGCAACGGAACCATAAAAAAACATTAAAACCCATCAGCCATTTAACACTTTTGTTTACCAACTCACCTGCCATTTTTCGTGACGATCATCTCGTTGGTTAGGTTCTGGAAACGTAGCCACAATTCGCGATCATCGAGTGAGACATGCAAGTTACGCTCCATGCTAGGACTACATTTAGCCAGCGGAGTATGATTACTGCCATTTGTAGTTGCGTGGCCATTTAGCGTATGTGGATGCGGCGAATGGGGGCCGCTACTGTTGATATTTGGATTAGGTGTTGATCCAATGCCGACGGGATCTACAGCTGATAAAATATGAGATGTTGTCATATCTTCTGAAACAAATTCAAAATTTTAGGATTATGTTAAAGGAGCTGATAAATATTTTTAGTTAATAATCTATAATATATAACTAATATCTTTTAAAAAATTTTTGAATGATACTAACTGATTAAATATAGACTGATTAAATATATTAAATATAGATTTTAAAGCGAAAAAAATATTTAATAAAATTATGAAGTCATAATTTAACTGAGATTCTTTGTACCTTGATCTCTACATGCTCTCATCGTGCATATAAGTGTTATAAAAAAGTTCTTAAAATTTCATTAAAAAATTATGAAATTTTTGATTTTATTTTAAATTTACTTACATGACACTTACATATACATGCATACATACATACATATATACACATGTTTTCTTTGTTTTTCAACGGTTTAAACTTTTGTCGGCTTTTTAACTTATATTACACACTTTAGCTACACTGAGGCAAGACTAAAAACTCAACCTCAAATGCCGGCCATAAAATTGTGAGGGAACCCTGCTCTTTTATGATGCTGACAAAACATTTGTATTGTGTAAAAATACCGAAAATAAAGAAACAAACTATCAGATACAACATTAAAACCATAAAATTGATGTCTAAATTCTTTCGTGCAGGAGAAAAGTGAAGTAAAACTTTTAAAAAACATTTGAAATCATAAATTAACAAAATTTATTAATTGTTTCGTTTTTCTTTATGGACATTTTAATTTGACTTTGCCGACAAAATTTTATTCTCCTCTTATTTACACTTTTTTCAACAATTTTTGAATTGATTTTGATTGAACATCAGAAGAAATTGAGATTTTGATTTATGCTCTCTTCACAGTGTTTTTAATTTATTAATATCGTAACTAAAGGCTTCCATATAAAACAATTATTTTATTAGATATTTAAACTAGTTTCTACAAGTGTCAGTTAAATTTTACTGACTAAAACCAATACAAATCTGTACTTGAATTGCTCTTTCATATCTTTTTTTAAAATTTTTCTTTTTATCTTCACCCCAAGACAAAAGACTTAAAACACAAACTTAAATCTTAGAGGCGCTTGCATCTTGATGAATTTTTTATTTAACGCTCCGACATTTATTGCACTAATAAAATTAAATTTAATATCGTAAAACTTCTTTTGGATAAATTTGGTTTTAATAACAATAACTAATTTTATAGTGTAAATTATAGAAATATCTAAAATATTTTTATTGTATTAATAATTTTACACAGAAAAGAATTATGCCATTTAACATTGTTTTTTCATTTCATTCTTTAAATATTTATAAAATTGTTCATAAATATTTTGTTTATATTATTAGTATATATATTAATATATACTATTAATAATTTATTATGCAATATGTGTATATAACTACATAAACACATAAAAACTTTAAAATAAATAATGCAAGTCCGCACAATTGCTTTTAATGTAACTATGATTAACTATTGTGTGATATATTGAACTCAGCTTATATGTATATCACTTATCCAGTGCTATATTAAATAACACCGGATTGATATGTCTTCATACATACATGCAACTTAAAAATCATTAATTACACTGTTATGGTTATGGAAAGAACAGCTGATTACAGTTCTCCAGAAAGTAAGTTTCTAGCGTGTTTTGTCTATCTTGACCAAAAACTATAGAATGATAGAGCCAAAGGAAAAAGCTTTCGTTGTCCTTTTCACATCTGTGACAAATGTATTTGAAATGAATAATGAATGTCATTATTGGGATCCAGACTTATATGCATGACCTTATCGTGTTATCATAACGTAGAGGGTATAAAATCCATTTCTACCTTTAGTAAAGTGTTGGCAGCTGATTAAGATTCTCTTGAAAGAAAATCTCTAAACTTACAAAAAATGTGAATACGGATGAGAAAGTAAAATTTCGATGTGTTTTAATTCTCTTGAACAAAAGGGATTGCAACTGATTAATGTTCTTTAAAAAATAAAATGTTGTTCTTTAGAAAATAACACGCAAAAACAGTCCTTAAAATAATTTTACTTTTATTATCTACATAAGTTATTAATAAGTTATTATTTAATAACAAGAAAACATTATTCTCATATCATTTATTTATTTATTAAAATATTTATTCAATTATCTTTAATTATTTATTTATAATAATTAATATTTTAATTATTAAATTATAATTAAAAAATTTTTTGCTTTCACAATACAGTCAAATTTATAAGATGTTTCAATTGAGAAACGTCTAAAAACTGAATTAACTCAAAGAAACTCAAATTGTTACTGCAACGCTTTCTAATCAAATGGATAAAAAATTTTTATGAAATGACCCGGTTTATGGTACATTCTTGGTACATGTCGTTTAATAAATCATTATTTAATGGCTGGGTTAATATATTCTGTTTTATCTAAGACTACAATGTTTAACTTGATTCCAATAATATGAAACAGTATAGCAAAATAATTAAATATTAATGATTTCCATAATAATATAAAAATGGAAGTGTTTTGGAAACATGCAAAGTGTCAGCTAACAGCACTAAAAAGGAAAAAAATAACTTGCTGTGATATATAGTCAGAAACATGTTTTTATGTATTTAAGTGTTCAATGTTCAATTAATATAAAGAAAATTATAATAAATAAAAATTTTTCTAAAAGAAAAACCACAATCGAAGTTATAGTAGAATAAATTTCGGCTATAATTTTAATTTTACTATTACTTTATGAATAAATTGTCAAGTTTTGATTATTTAAGATTGTAAAACCTTTTTCTTTTATAAAATTAAATATTTCTTTGAATATTAAAAAAAATGAGTTATTAGAAGGCAATCCATGTATTTACTTAAATCAACACCCATCTTTGTTACTAACCAAAAGTTAGTCATAACAGTTTGTTTATTTTTATTTATTTTTTTTTATACCATAGAAGCCTAAATAAAGTTTGTTTTATTATTTTATTAAGTTAAGCAATTGATTTGAAAAATATTTACTTAAAAAAGTCGAAAAACTTAAAATTCCACAAAATCAAAGCCGATCGGGCACAAAATTGGAAAATGTTGAAATGCGCAGCATTGAAAGCGTTTTTTTTTCCAGCGATTTTTTTCTTCACGAACAAAAAATTTCAAGTTTTACATTCATTTTCTTATTGAATTTGTATAAAAATTTTGTATCTATAACTTCTTAAATCGTGACTTAAATATTTACTCATCAATGTTGGCTTTCATCACAAAATGCACGAGTATTTGAACAAAGTTTTTTTTCTGTAAATTTATTTTTAAAACTGAAAAAAACACAACAATAAAGTTTTTATTTGCTAAAGGGTGGCAATCGATAAATTATTTTTAATTAAATATTATATTAAAATTATTTATTTGTTATATTATATATTAAATTATTTGAAATAAATAGTTTCCTGATGACTATTACTTCTTAATCACGACAAATTCTTTTTTTTTTCTTTCTCAAAACAGGATATTTTAATAATAACTATTTATTGTAATACTCCGTCAACAAAACAAATTAAATAAAATTTATTAAAATTATAACAGTTTTATTTATTTATATGTTATTTATTATTCGCATAAGCCTTAAGCAATAAATTTAAGCAAAAAAGGTATTCAATTTCAAAATATTTACGTTTACATTACAGATCTGGACAAGTAAACATTATCTGTTATATTAAAATAATTTTGTATCTTCACATTATTAAAAGTAATGGCATATAAGCCATAAATAAAATTTTAGACTGAATATTTTAAATTATTCCAAGGCTGAACTTGATTATTGAAAGTATTGCAAATTGAAAGATATGGGTTGTTGATTCAAATATTTTTAGTTGTCAATTATCAATTATTGTTTTTATTATATTCAATTAACTAAAACAAATTTCAAACTTACTTCTGCATACTTAAGCAGCTTACATAGTTGAAATTCAGAATGAAAATGTATATATATAATATATTATATATAATGTATCTATATTGCATATGTACCAAATTATTGTAAAAAATTATGTTAATTAAAAAAAAATACTAAACGTGGGATAGGTACCACTTAACAATAAATAAATCATTAATTACTAGAAATTATAAGCATACTATGCAATACAATATATTATCACAACAGTTTAAAACAACAGTTTTCTAAAAATGCTCTATACCATTTCAATTAATTGATATTTAAACCTAGTAATAATGTTGCACTTAATTGGAAAATCATACTAAGTTATAAGTTATTACTCTCAATCCGAAGAAATTCATTTGAAATACCTTAAAACATAAATAGCTTAAAGGAATAAATCTCAATACAATTTCAAAGACAGATGCTATTATTTAGTTATCACTAATTCAATGTTAAAAAAGATTAATCATTTAACAAATAATAAAATGATCAAAGCAATTCTATAAGACAACACTGCAAAAAATATATTACACCCTCAGACTCAAAAGAAAATAACAGATTACGAAAATATCAGAATCCATATCAGTAAATTTCTACCCGAAGCTTAGAAAAACAGGTCAGAAGGTTATAGATATGATATTTTAATTAAATTGTAGAACTAACAGAAAAATATTATAAGCGAAGACCTCAATATTATATATTAAAGATTTTTGACATAGAATGATATCTAGCCAGCATATACAGAAATAACAAATATATCATCAACATCAAGTACATCAACAGGATATACTTAACGATTTTTGACTGTACAAAACTGGACAGATCTTTAAAATTAATAAAAATAACTCAACCTGAAAAAGAACTCAAATAAATCAAAACTTAAGAGAGATGAAATAATAAGTATAACAATTAATAGAACAATTAACTAAAGCCATTGGATCGATTCAAAACCAAGCATACTCAGACCGGATGTAATTGAACCAAACTACAAAACGAACCGTTGCAGTTTTGAAACTTCTCAGCCAAAAAAGAACCAAACCACATTTTTTAACTGGTTCCAGTTGTAACTTGCAAAAAGTTATATTTCAATATCTTTTTTATATTTTCTGAACTAACACCTATA